ACCGCGCCTCCATAGAGCCTCCCCGAGGCAGGATCTATGGCGAGGTGATTGAATCTCAAAGCACCCTCTCTGGTCGCGTTGGCGCTCAGGGCGAGATGTCCGTATCGCTGCCCATTCCCCGCGGGGAACTGCGTTATCACGTGTGGGGACCTGTTGTCCTGGACCGGCGGAGCGGTGCTAGCGGGGGTGTCTATCGCTGCGGTCGCCAGTATCACTAGGAACCATGTGGCGACGGACATGGATGAGAGGGACGATCGATGAAGGAGCGGCGGCAGCGGCACTTGCAGCGGCGTCACTGTGGGCGATCTGGGAAATGACTGGGCGAGTCCCAGGAATCTCATGGTGTGCGAGCGACAGATGACGAGGCACGTGCGCACACGCTTGGCGTGTGCGTCAGTGCGTACGCAGGTCTAGGAGAGGAAATGTAAAAGGTGTGGTGTCAGGGTACGTGCCCTGCTGCTGGTGGCGAGCCAGTGTTAACGCAGTGCTACCGGCTATGGCTTGGGCGCAGGCACCGGCATGCCGATCATTGTCCGCCAGCCCTGAAACATCACCAGTGAATTACACGTCGGTCGAGCAGAATCAGGCTCGTCTTCTGTTGCCGCACCAGTGAACTGGAGTGAGTAAACGGCGTACTTGCCACATCAATCGCACTCGTCCAGCTCAACGCGCGAGTTCACCGGCGCGGCGGTAGAAAACAAACCTATTATATCGCGTCAATTAGCAATTCGCGCTGCTGCTGGGAAGCCTCGCGCGTCGCCGTATTTATTTCACGATTTTATCCCGACACACGCCACGTGTTAATCTCGCCTAGGTCGCCGCGCCGTTGCTTCCGCGAGCGCACACTCGCGAAATTTCTTCTTCGATTCTGAAATTTGGAGATGAAGATACCGACGGCGACGCGTCGAGCGGAGAACCCACGCTGGACGCGGATTCTCGGAATAACCTTAAAAAAAAAACCCCTCAGCACGGCAGCGATGCCCAAGGTGCAAGAGTTGCGACGAAGGGCCACGCCGAGGGTCAAGTCGCACACGTCGCGCACACGCTGGCAGCGCGCTTCCGTCGGCGAGTCTACCGTGCACGGGCGGCGGAGAGGTGTAAATAGGAGCCCGCCGAGTCCTCCCTAACAATGAAACGGCCACAACGGCGCGGGGCAGATGGCTCCGCGCATTTCGGGCAACACCGTGGCACGCACCGCCCTTCATTAGCGCGGCGAAACGTAGCCGCACTTGACAGCTAAGGCCACTGTCTTCGCACAAAGGCAAAGGATAACTCTCCGCCAACCCCGTGCCGTCGCCCCTCCCTCGCCACCACCACCTCTCTCTCTCACTCTCTCTCGCTCGCTCCCGTCACGATCAACGTCGCCTACCAAAACACGATCGCGTCGTCCGGCGATAGCGCGCGGCGAGAGACGCGACGGGAACGTCGCCGTCGAGGGCGTAGGGCCCCAGGCCTGGTCTTCTCGCGCGCGCGCGAGAGAGAGAGAGAGACACGCCGAGACGCGACACGCTGGGGCCCCCCCGAGACGGGACGAGCCGAGCGACGGTGTCGGGCGAGACGCCAGGGCCGCCACCTCGCACCTCGCAACCTCACTCGGCCGCGGCTGGGCGGCTTTACCTTGCTCGCTGCGCGTCGCACGTCGCTCGCACAAGTGCGTGAACGCTACGGCACATCGCGGACGTGCGGCATGCCCGCGCGGATGCAGGAGGCTCCCGGCTCGCGCAGATAGGCACTGGTCGCCACCACGAACGGGCTGTCGCTGTTGCTGCCACTGCCACTGGCCGCCGCCACCGCCGCCACCGCCGCCGCACACGCACAGCACCGCCCGGGGTATCGCCGCCGCGGATGACGATCCGCGATGCTCGCGTACCGCCTCGTGGGCATAAAGTCGGCGCCGCGCACAAGCGCCGAGCGGCCGTCCGTGTCGCCTCACAACACAACACTGCGAACGGCCGAGTCGGGATCAGCCGCCATTAAAATTCGTCCGACACGGGGCCGCTGCACGAGTTCAGAGGCGCGAGTCGGGGGCCGTGGCTACGGCATGCGCCGCTGTCCCGTCTCTGTCTCTCTCTCTATCTCGCTCCCTCTCTCTCTCGCTCTCTCTTTCCCTCCTGCTCCCCCCTCGCTCTTATCGCGGTCCCGAGCGCCGTACCTCTTCCTCCCTTCGTTACTCCGCTCGTCTCCCTCGCGCCCACCGCACACGCTCGACGCACGCGTGCACACCTATGCGATGTACGGGATGTCCCGAAACTTCTCCGACCGCGGGGACACTCTTCCGCGAACTTGGTGCCGCCTGGGCGAGACTCGGTCCGCGACCGGGATTCTTTTTTTCTTTTTCTTTTTACTCTGACCGCCGAGTCGGTTCTTCGTTGCAAAACTCGTCGACGCGCTAGGCTATCCCGACTATCCGCGTCTAGAAACGTTCCGCTTTGTCGCCAGCGAACGCGCTCGGAAGATTGCGCAGATTTTTTTTCAGCGCTTCGATTGGCTCGGGATAGAACGTTTCCGGATACAAAGGGTTTAGGGTACGTTGTAAATTTAGGCCGAAGAATACCCTTTCATCGATAAAAGCGCCTCCAAAAGCGGCTCGTCCAATCGGCAAAGGCTTGTCCGCCGCTCTCAGGTCCGGTCTTTCATTTTAATTGTTCACCAGGCGCTAGACTCTCCGTCTCTTCTCAGGTAATAACGTGGAAAGAGATGGAGAGTCGACCAACTTCCGGTTAACAGCTAACCGGAAAATGGGAAACCGGACAGCAGGCTGTAAAGCGCGAGATCATTCAACGGGCAAGCTCCGAGAATTTCGAGATTCGACCGAGATCCGTTGCGATGCGGAAACGATTCGACACCGCCGCGAACTCGATGCCGCCCGGGCAAGACTTGCCAGCGAGAAATCACTCGTCCATCGATGTCGAGACAACGTCGAATCCACGTGTCAATTCGACAGCGTTTCGACCAATTATCTCTCACCGCGTTGGCCCGAGATTCCTTTTCCATTCGGAATGTCACGTCGAGGCCGGTTTTGCAATACAAAATTCGTCGACGTTCAAGCCCTGGACCTATCGCGTCCAGAGAAATTCCGTTTTGTAGCAGACACATACGTTTAAAAACTTTGTATAAGCTGGTCGATTGTGTACAATCGTACAATTGTCGGCAAATTTTCTAAGCGTTTCGATTGGCTCGTGCAGGCTAGAACGTGTCTAGACGCGACGAGAGCAGATTAATCGACGAACAAATTTCTACCCGCGCTCCCCAAGATTTTAAGACTCAACCGAAATTCGTCGCGATGCGGAAACGATTTATAAATTCCGGACCGTCGTCGTTCTTGGCCAGGGCTTTGGTATCTTTACGTTACGCGAAATATGATTTCCAGGGTGCCGTGTGCCTTTGTACCCGGACCTGTGCGTGCGACCATCGCGCTCGCGCATGCGTGGCGAACGGAGCGCCCTCCTGCGGCATAGGCGATCGCGCACACAGCTCGCTTCACGCTCTAGCGAGAGAATAAACGCTTCAATTCTACCTTAAACTTTAGCAAACGTGACGATTCATATATTCACGGGCTGATCTTCAACGTGAGATCCAGTAAACAAAATTGTATTTATTTATGCGAATTTTTATAGTGCGAAATTAAATGGTCTCTCTCTCTCTCTCGCTCGGTCGGCTGTGCGACGCGAAGTTGGCTGCGTACGACCGAAATGGCGTTTACGAGCGGCAATTTGAAAAAAAAAAGAGGAAAAAATTGAAATGACCGAAGCGTCGTGAAATCGATCGTCCTTCGATTAATCGCGCGAGTGTTAAGGAACGTACGTTATTGTTAACCGCGAGAAGAAATCACAATGAAATTGTTACATTTACAACTTTATTAGCATAACACGTTTCAATGAGATTAAAATTTTTTTTTCCTCAGATTCGGATCCTTTTTTCCCTTCCGCGACATTTAAAATAGTATACTTTTGTACTTACGTTCTGTTTTTTTTGTTTTCTCTGTACAGATGTGCACAAACAAGAGAAATAGCCTGCTTAGAATAATCTTATCCGACTGATGAAGTTAATCGAGCTCAGAGTGTCCGATCATCGTCACAATTTATTATTGTAAATGTTATTTACACATATACCTAAGCTTCAAACAGCTTCGTAACGTTTTCTTCTGTCATCTTCTTTTTCTCTTCCGTCTCTATGATGGACATGAGGTGAATCTTTTGGCTGCGATAATTTCTTTAATTGTATAACAAATATAGTAAATAACTAATATTAGCTCGTAATTAAGAATATGTGAACGCATAAGTGTAACATAGTAATATGAGTGTAGACTCATTCGTTCTGTCTTCCCTCTCAGCGCATCACGGTTCTCACTTTTTTTTTCAATTTATAATAGAATACATATATGTATACATATCCATGTGTTTATATATGTATATATATATTAGGTTCTATATATATAATTTTATATTTTATATATATATTTAGATTTTATATATATACATATACAACCTAAAATTCAATGTGTCAGGATAATAAATGTTAACTCGCACAGGATCGACTACATCTTTAAAAGGGAAGTCTCTCTCTCTCTCTATGTATACATATACATATATATGTCAAACTTAGCATGTTCTAAGTAGATGATTTATTTAGGATGCGTTTTCTTAAATAGAAATCGACCCTCCCTACTAAAAGTTTCTTACATCTTACGCATGGCAAGTGATCAAGCCCGCCGATGTACGTGTGTGTACGTGTACGTGTGTGTGTGTGTGTGTGTGTGTGTGTGTTACAAGGAAGGACTCTTCATTTTCAAATGTCGTATAAAACTTATAAAACAGAAAGTGCGTTTATAATTTACGCCTAAAAAAGAGATATTATACACGTTCGCGCGCGTATCGATGCTACCATCCAGCCTCCTTAGGCCTTTAACGCGACATCGAGATCAAGATCGATACCGCAGCCCACGTCCCGCTACTTTTGTGTTCAGCAAAGTTTCCCCTTCCTCCGATAATTACCTTCGATTCGGATTTAAGCAGATTGAAACTGTAAACTTCAAGTGTACGGCTCTTCTGTTTCTATGTTCGCTGGTCCGCTTAAATACTCTCTTTCTCGCTCAAGCTTCTTTATATAAGTCTTCCTGTCGTCTTTATGGATTCGAAATTATTAACAAGTTCAGAGACTATGCTCCACTCTTCACAGATCGTTTGTCCGCTGGCCTGGTGTCTCGGACTAGTTACAGACAAATGGCTTCCCACAAAGTACAAAAAAGGATCGTTATCTATTTGCTTTTCTTCTTCATACATCATGGAAACTTTTCATGTGTACGATTACGGTGCCAATGCGTAATTGTGACGTTCAAGTCACGAGAGGAATTTTTAGATAATATTACGTATCTCATTTCTGTAACGGTGTACTGTATTATGCATTAATAATGTTATCACTAACGCAAGATTCTCGATAGTAATATTTTTTTTGTTTTAGTTAGTGTAGCTTTATCTGTAGTAAATGTACTGATGGTGACGGTAATGGTGGGATGTTGTATAGTCAACAGATGAAGCTACCTATCCCAAGGAAGGAAAGTCATTCTCGTCGTCTACCTTCGGAGCGTTTTGACGACTTCGCGGCGACCTCTGCTCATTTTGTGGCTGCAAACAGAAAAGGGGAAGGCATTACCTCTCGTGCATTCCCTTACAATACATTCTATATAACGCGATGGACACTCACGCGTGTATCGCCGTCTCTGGGAGCACCACGGTTCCCGAATCCACGTCCGTTGATGCGATCGCCACGACCGCGGCCGCCTCGACCGCGACCGCCGGAACCGCGTCGTGAGTCACTGAACTGGATCTCGATGCCTAGCACGCGCTTTTGCCTGCCGACACGCTGAGGATACTCCGCGGCCGCGTCGTAGTCCTCCTCCTCTTCGTCCTCTTCCTCGTTACCCTCCTTCTTCTTCTCGAGCGCGTACATCTTCTTCCAACGCGACAGGTCCTCGCCTTCGCCGGCCTTTCGCAAATTGTATTGAGGCTTCGCTCTATTGCTCCGCAGAGCCTTCCACTCGTCCAGCGTCAGCTCGCGCGTCTCCTCCTCGGCCGGTTTCTCCTCGACAGTCGCATCCGCGGTTGTTTCCCCGTTCTTAACCTCGGTCGGCGCTTGAGGGTCGGATTCCGGCTTATCATTGGCCCAATCTTGACTATCTTGATTCAGGCTCTCCCTAAAAAAAGACAGAAAGAAATAACGGTCAAGATATGCCGTCTCTCTTATTCGAAAGCAGCTATTGCAGGAAACGCCAACTGCCTTGAATTACTTACTCTATTTCGTCATTATGAGTACCCCAGTTATGACTGCCAGCACCATCTTTTTTATCCACTGGTTTAATTCCACTGTTAATAGACAAATGTGGAATAGGCTTTAAATTGTAGTGCACCGATCAAGCTACACAGCATTACACTGTTACATAATTAACAATGCGTGCCTCATTACAAATGCCTCTGTTGATAACTCAATCATTCCTGTTTATTTACATGATTAATGTCCAAAAAAAAACAACGAGGAATCAAATTGAACGTCCGACAAGCTGTCGTAAGCATTCGCCGTGTGTATGTATGTAACATGAAAACATAATACCACAACTAGGAAGAAACCAACGAAATTAAGCGTATATAAAAGTACAAGGTACAAAGCAGTGTGGGAGCGAATTCAGACTGCATTTGTCGGTGCTCTGGAAAGAATTGGACTCAACGTAAACGACAACCTTGATACAGTGCGCACACCGAGGCGAGCATCATTATGTAGAGATATTCGAGTGTAATGTCACCATGTATACGCGTCCGCGCGTGTGCGTGCGCGTTTCGATACTTACGTTTTATCAGAGCCGGACTGACGATCGAACTCGCGTTTGCCGCGATTGTCGAAGCCACCGCGTCCACGGGGACCACCGCGTCCGCGACTCATGCCTCGCATACCACCGCGGCCACGGCGCTCCCCATACTCGCCGCGCTGGGTCTCGTTCGAGTTCCGAAACTCGCGTGTCTCGCGGCTCTCGCGGCCCTCGCGGCCCTCGCTGAAATCAAAACGGAACATGCGGTTACCGCGAGAGAAGCGTCTCGAGTGATCGAGTACACCGAGGGATCTGCCGTCCGTATTTTGTTCTTGCCGCGTGTACATGTATGCGTGTAAAATATGCTCGCTTAATGGAGACGCGTTGATGCGTTATCATGTTTATGTATCTGGCAAACACAAGTAAACGCGCGCGCGTGTGTGTACGAGACTTGGAACGATGTCTCTGTTTTTAAGATTCAGTAACTCGGGACGCCGGGAGTAGTTAGCTGATAAGGCAGCTGTTTGCCAATACAAAGAGCCGAGTTCGATCCCGGCGTCCCGTGTAAAAAGAATCTTCGGCAGATGACACGAACCTTTCGCACGACGATAAAAATGTAAGCGAGAGGCGCACATTAGATCTTACCTAAAACATGATACTTTGCATCAATTGAAAGTTCGTCACGTCAGAGGTGAAAAATGTTGAGACCATCGTCGACAGGAACAAAATGTTTCAAGCAACAGCACAAGATTGATTATCTTTACGTGAAAGTAGCCTCGTCTCCTTCTAACCGTCCTCTTAAGGTCTGTGTCCACGATGCTAGAACCTGGACCAGTCATGGACGCAGAAAGAGACGAAGCCGCTCACTTTCAACAACGTTCGCTACGTCGTAAGATGCAGAGTTGACCCCCTCGTCTTGAAACTCACCCAGGGGGCCCTCGTCTGAACTCTCCTTGCCCTCGCAGCGTCCTCTCCCCATCCTCCCGGTTACGCCTGTTGTTGCGCTCCTCCCGGGACTCTCCTGAGAATTTGACGTTGCGATCGCCCGCGTTCGCCCTTGGTTGCGCTGGTTTTTTATCGGCTGCGGACAGAAACACGCGTGGGTATAAAATGGCTAGGCGCTGCTCTCGAGCGAGAGTCTCTCAACGAGTCTCTACGCGCTGTCCAACACTATCGGTTTGACAAATGTGTTCGATTCCATTGTTCGGAATTAAACAAAATCAACTGTAACGCAGCCACCTCGAGAGAAAGAGGATCGCGCTCGTGCACACCGCCGTAGAGGGGCCGAGATTTAACAATTCGCTAGCAAGTGCAGCGAGTTGGGAAAAGGGCCTGTTCGCACACACCTCCCGCGTGCAAACAATGAGCGTCAGGGCTTTCCACGGTGGACAACCGCGGTACGTCGATCCGACCAGGTTACACGTGGTCGCGGAAATAATCGCGGTGGAGGTAACAGAAACCGGATCTCGCGACGTACACCTGCGACCGCACGAGTCCGTCGTGGACGGACAAATCACCCGGGGGGGAGAGGAGGGGGGAGATATCTCGAGGGCCGCCGAAACCGCCGCGCGACGAGAGGCGCACACGGATTTGGAGTCGGATCGTATCCCCACGCGGGTCATGCAAGCCCCGCCGCGGGACCGGCACGCGCGCGCTCGCCTATTTTTAAAGGCGGCGCGAATCATTTTTAGAAAACGCGGTGGCGGCGGCGGCGATGGCGATGGCGGTGGCGGTGGCGGCGGCGGCGGTGGCGGTTTCCGCGGCAGGTGCGCGGCCGTTCCTCGGCGGAGGGCGACCCGGCGAGTCGCGCCGCGGGGCCGATCGATCGGGCGACGGAGGCCGCGGCCGAGGAACGGTCGGGAGGGCGCGAGACGGCCGAGCACATGGGTGGCCGACGGCCATGACGCGCGCACGAGGCCGGAGGCGGCGCGAGGCGCCGAAACGGACCGGGGGGGAAGGCTAACCTTGATCCTTTTTGGCTTCCTGCGCCTTCGACGGCGGCTGCTGGGCGTCCTTGATGACGCGACTCTTCTGCGTCTTGTTGTTGGCGGTCTTTTGGCCGTCCTGCGGCTGCTGCTGCTGCGGCTGCGGCTGCTGCTGCTGCGGCTGCTGCTGCGGCTGCGGCTGCTGCTGCTGTTGCTGCTGCTGCTGCTGCTGATGCTGCTGCTGCTTGCTCTTGTTCTCCTTCTCCGAGATCCTCTCCTTCTTCTTGGCTTCCTTCTCCTGCTCGCGCACTTTTAGTACCTCCAGCGGGTCCTCGCACTCGTCGAGCGCCAGCAGGAACTTGTTCGTGACCGTAACTGTGTACTCGTTTTCCATCTTGGCTCGATATCCTCACGGCGTCGAGGATCTTGCGAAGGTTTCACGGCTACTCTTGAGCCCCTGTGTAACGGAGTCATTCACTATCCAATATGGCCGAGTCGGAGAGCCCGAGTCCACCACGAGGTCTACCCCGCTGCGGCACCGCGCAGATTCGTGGGAAGGGGCCGGCGGGGGGAGGGGAGACGGCCGAGGGACCGCGGACGGAATTGCCCGTGTGCGGCGTGCGCGCCACCTTCCCCACCTCAATTATTTCTACTCGCGACGGGATGTCGCGTCGCGTGCACGGCCCGCGCCGTGCCGGGGGCGTACGGGAAAAATCACGTCGTGAATTTTCGCGCGGCCCGGTCCGCGCCGGTACACGGCTTCGCGGGGCCGCGGCGCTCCAGGAGACTCTCAATTGTTCGCGGGCCGGGAAGTCGCGCGATTTCCATGAGGCGTAGCCGCGTAGCCGCGTACGCGCCGCGCGCCGGCGGAGCCGTCGCGACGCTCGCGTCCTCGGGGGGGGGAGGGAGACGATAATTGATAATCCACGCTTGAGATAGCGAATTCGGCGCGGCGGGGCGTAGTTTTTTCCCGAAACGGGCGACGCGTGACGCCAGGCGCTCCGTTTTCGCGCGGCGCCGCGTGACGTCACGCGGCCAATTGGCGTCGACCGACTGGAGCTGTCCGATTGGCGCCGTCCAATCGCGCGCTCGCCGGAAGTCGCTCGGCGCTGCGACGCCCCGCGGGGATTACGTGGATTCACCAACTCATCCGGATTTTGCCGCAAACTTCTTCTATACGTATACAATAGGATGTAGTAAGTCCCAGTCTACAATAGAGATTTAAGCCCTAAGCCTTAAGAAATTGACTAATCACAGTCGCGCATTCTTCTCATACTTGACCGTGATTGGCCAATTTCTTAAAGCTTAGGGCTTAAATCATCTATTGTAGACTGGGACTAAGGCTGGGTCTACATTGGATGTCGTAAGTCGTGTCGAAAGAAATTGACCAATCGCAGTTCATTATTCTTCGACCGTAAGGAGAATAATGAACTGTGATTGGTCAATTTCTTCCGACACGACTTACTACATCCTATGTAGACCCAGCCTTAAGCCCGTGTCACACTACATATTGCGGATCGCGGATCGGTTTGAGATTGCGGATCACGGATCGCAATTCAACCAATCGGGTTCAAGGTCGCCTCGTCTGATTGGCTGAAATGTGATCCGCGATCCGCAATTTCAATCCGATCCGCGATCCGCAATACGTAGTGTGACACGGGCTTTAGGCTGGGTCTACATTGGATGTCGTAAGTCGTGTCGGAAGAAATTGACCAATCACAGTTCATTATTCTTCGATCGTAAAGAGAATAATAGACTGTGATTGGTCAATTTCTTCCGACACGACTTACGACGTCCAATGTAGACCCAGCCTAAAGCCTCCGCTACAATGATTCTCGGTTCTGTCTACAATGGTCGTAGTCGTAAGAATAATCGACTGCGATTGGTCAATTCAGTCAGACGCATAAGAATTGACCAATCGCAGTCGATTATTCTTACGACTACGACCATTGTAGACAGAACCGAGAACCATTGTAGCGGAGGCTTTAAGCCTCGTCTACATAGAAGTCGTAAAGTTGTAGTAAGAATAGTCGACTATGATTGGTCAATTCTTATGTGTCTGACGAAATTGACCAATCGCAATCGATTATTCTTACGACTACGACTCTGCGACTCGCATTGTAGACCACGCATAAAGCGGTGGCGGGGAGCACACACTTTTGCATAAGTGCATAAGCATATGCATAACGAATTTGATTGATCCATTTCCTTATGCATTTGCTTATAGACCAATCAAAGGTCGATGAATCGGGGGAGCCCGCGGATAAAGATCACACCCGCGGCTGTGTATTTATCTCGTCCAGCACGGATCCGCGTCCAGGCGGATGCGCACGCACGCGCGCGCCGCGTCGGCCATGTCGGGCGATCCTCGCGCGTGCTCGTGTACGTATTTTGGCGGTTTACCAGTTGCACGCGGCACGCGTACCACGCGCGCGGCGGCGGCAGAGAGGTCGCGCGTGTCAGTCCGTGGTGAGCTCGGTCGACGGTGGGTCGTCGTGGCCGCGTCGCTACGCGACAACGATCTCGCGCGGAGATCGCCTCGATCGTGAGTGAGAGTAGCGCGGAGGCAAGCGATTACAAGGTGAAAAGCGACCGGGCGGCGTCGGCGATATGGAGCTGCACACGCCGAAGCGCGAGTCGCGCCCGTCACGGGAGCTGGACTGCAGCCCGATGTCCGACACGACGTTCTACCCCTGGAACTGGGGCGAGGAGGCGCGCAACGCGAACCTGAGCCCGGGCAGCTCGTGCTCGTCGCCGGAGTACAGGGAGCAGCACGTCGCGGGGCTGGACGCGAGCGGCGGCGGTGGCGGCGCGGGCGGCAGGTCGGCCGCCGGCAACGGTTCCGAGAGCCACCGGCGCGGCCGGCCGCGCGCCGACGCGCTCACGAATCTCATGCAGCAGGGCAGCACGTCGCCGAGCAGCATCAAGTGTTCCTTCTGCAACCGGGTGTTCCCGCGCGAGAAGAGCCTCCAGGCGCACCTGCGCACTCACACAGGTAAGGGCTTTCTCTCGCCGGGAAGGCTTTATTCAGCCGAGCGCGTTCTCGCCGCCGAGAACGATCTCGCGCGGGTTCGGCTTTCTGTGAGCGCGCGCGCGCGCGCGCGCGTCTCCCTCGCCACTACTCGTTCGCTCTCGCGCGTCCCGCCAATCGGCCATCATGCCGCGCTTTAAATACTTAAATGGCTCGCCCTGGCGTGCCGTGCCATGCCGGCGCGACGCGTCCCTCGAGCCGCCGCCGATTGCGCGCGAAAATCACGGCACGGCCACACGTGTAACGAGCGGCCGCGCGGCCGCGCGCGCCGAGAGAGAGCTGCGTGGGAATTTTAATTGTCGCGGGAGGGGGAAAGGGCCCGAGTGTGTTTGTGCGCGCATTCACTTCGAGTCTGTTACCGGGTTGCGCGGCCTTTGTCTACTGACAACAAAAACGGATGCGGCGGGGGCTTTTTCCGTCTTTGCCGCGCGCCGCGAAACGGAGCTTTTCGAAAATACTATCAACCTTCTACGCATGTCGCGCAGTTTCTTTCACAACGGTACCGAGCAAACCGGGGGGGAAACTTGATGTTTGGATAAGATTTAAATGCCGAACGCGCGCGATCGTAGTCCTCTCCGCGTCCTGTCGTTAACGTCGAAGCCATGTGTCACGAGATTTGACATTTTTCAACGTCCCGATAATTGGTGTCGTGTAATTAATTTACGGGTAATTGGGAAAGTATTTGAAAATGTAACATTCCTCAAATGTATAGAAATAACATTCCGTTTCATATTGACTTATGCGTATAATACACAAGATGCTAACTTGATGAAATATGACAAGTGATTTTACGACCGCAGGAGAACGTCCGTACCCATGCGACTATCCCGGGTGCACGAAGGCCTTCACTCAATCCGGACAGCTGAAGACTCATCAGCGATTGCACACAGGAGAGAAGCCGTTCCTGTGCACCGAACCAGGTTGCGAGACGAGATTCACTCACGCCAATAGACACTGCCCTGACCATCCTTACGCCAATCTCACGAGATCGGACGACTTTGTGTTGAAGCCGGTGTCCGAGAACACGGAGCTGCCGTGCGACGTGAGTCGATGGTTGGAGCGATACAAGATGTCCAGGGAGCGAGAGGATCGCACGCCGACCGGGAAGAACGAGCGGAAGAAGAAGACGTGGAAGAGCAGCGCCGAGAATCACAAGAGGATAAAGTCCAGAAAGGGCCTCATGATGGACATAGCCGGGGAGCAAGAAAATCTCGATCGCAATTCGTCGAATCAACGGCTACACTGCGGAGACAATCGGGACAGCCAGGAGGAGAGCCAAGATGAGGACCCGGCGGACACGTGTTGCGCGATACTGCAAACGTCCGAGGACGAGGAGACATCGGGCGCCAAGTTGGCGATGGCCTCGCTGAGGAAACCCTTGGACAGACTACAACCAAAGAAACGATGGCTACTACGAAACGCTTGCTTGGAGCAACAGCTGGATCTCAACGAGGACTGTAGATCCAACAACGTGACGACCATACGCAAGATTGACGGCAAACAAGTACTGAGCGGGTCCACAGAATTGGCGGAGTTCCAGTGGTACCCGACATTCTTGGACAATTCCGCCGCGGATAACGTACCCATAGCGAGTCTGGACAACAGGCTAGTAATCCCGAGTGCGCAGTTGGAGCCTTCATACACTGCCCCGCAAATGTGCTGCGTGATGAGCCATGACGACGAATCCCTCAAAAGAGGGGGGGGAAATGTATATGTGCAGCCTCTGAACCACCCGCAATGGAGCTCGCTAAGTAGCTTGTCAAATAATCAGAGTATTTTTGAAACTAGTATTGACGAATCCGCTATAAAGATTCAGGAACCCACGTGCTTGCACTTTGATTACATGGAGCAGATCATTCATAGTGAGACAACGAATCACGAGGCGTCAGCCAGCTCTCGTATCAGCGAAAACGAGACGAGACCGACGGTACTGATGCTAGCTGGCAATTGTAATACCAGCAAAGAAATCGTTCCCAAACTGCCGGTCACGTTAGACCCTGTGGAAACGGGGACGGAGATAATTTGCGCTAAACAGGAGGACAGCATAGATAAGTTACCGGTGCAGGAGGACAATAAGAAATGGCAGGGTGCTCTGGCACTGATGGAGTTGGCCAAGACGCAAGAAGAGGCGATTTTAGTGCATCTTGAGCACGATGTAAAGGACGAATGTTCCGCGGCTTCAGATTTACCTTTATAGCCACATACAGACTGTGATTACAGGTTATATTATAACTTTGTTATTTTTATATGCAAGAAGAAAAGCGAATAAAAGCTGTTCACTCATGTAACACAGTCCATTTATCGGCGTACAAACGTAAAAGAAGTTTCTTGCTGTGAAACACATCTGTTTTTGCTTTTCTTTTTTTCCCCCTTTATATTCTTTGATGAATAACTTTTACTGTTAGTCTTATGATGTGTTTGTTCTAACTCTGAGATAGCTTTCAAAATTTTTAATTTTATGTGATTATTATTATTATTATTATTATTATATGTATAATACTGAAAACAGGGTGACACTGTTATACTGTTATAATCAATCAATTTTCTTCCACGCGGTAAAAAAAAAAGCAAATGTGTCTCATGGGATTAAAGCGAATCTTATTACTTACTTTTACTGCATAATAATCGTTTTTCACACATAAAGTCGATTTAAAAGAGTATTGTAATTAAGTTTGTTTTGTTTTGTTAGCGCAAAACCGCGGAATCGTATAACATGCATGTAAGCACGTATTACATGTTTATTTTTTGCTCCACAGTTTATTGTTATTATATTATAATAGAGACTTGTGTGATACTTATTTTAAGAATAATAAATATACAAGAATGGAAGAATAAAAGTGTCAACATTGATTTGAGTTTATATTTAAATGGAACAAAATCAATGGCTGTTTATGAAGTATAACAAAAGTAAGTTTAAGTCCCGGATTTAATTTCCATCCATTCGAAATAATTTGCAAGCATGTGAAGCCTGGTGAAGCCTACAATATTTTGTTAAATATAATGTAATAAGATGCATCTGTAATTACTGATAAAATCTGATTTTTAGAAATAATTATTTCATTACGTTAAGGAATACACGCAGTAGTTTATTTTTCCTAAATTATCTGCATTTTCCACAATTCTTTGGAACAAATTACTATGCAATTTTGGAAGATGCAGATCATTTCTACATTAACACAATTTTTTTATTATGTTTTTTTACATCTAATGCATCGTGATGACTTCGTACCGTAATTTTCATTATTTCAAAATAATTAGCGGCATTTACTTCGTCCATTTCTTGATTCATTTATTAACGACATACCTGCGTTTTCTATCCTTTTTTCAAAACCATTTGAAATCTTCTATCATTTTCAACATTTTTGGAATTTTTCGGCATAGAAATGGTGTTTGTTTTTTTTCTTTTATTGCCATGTCTCAGTAACTCTATAGCCTGATCTATATTTCTACTATAATTATCAAGTATTAATTGCTTCGTATCTTTAACACTTTTTCGTTTCTTTGAATTAATTCTGAGACTTAATATTTTTCACCAATTTATCAATACTTTCCATCGTGGCAAATAAATCTATTTTGTCAAGTTCATTAAACTCTTGAACATACGTACTGTAATTGAAGATGTCACTTTAATCATAATCCCTTTACGATTTTTTTTGCGTACCGTCTTCATTCAGTTTTTCTATTTTTTACGTCCTCAACTTTTGGTCTCTTGTGAGTTTACAACCATTTATATTTGTGAACATAAACATCTCCCCCTGCCCAGCTTCGTTGGATGACGAAATTTTGGACGCTCTTAAGGGATACTGGAGTGATTCTGCACCTTTTGCTCCTAGAACTGTCAATTCGTGAAAACATTTGCGTAATATATTGCGTAATTATGTGTAATCAATTTTATGTGAGATGTATACTTACGTTTCGTGGCATGATTGACCAAACCTCGTGGGATAATCGTGACTTCGTGGCATTTTGTATAACACCTCAGTATTAATCACACGCGACAGAAAAGGAAACACGGAAAATATACGATTGCACGAAGTTACTATTTGCACACAATGGTACAAATTTTAATCAACAGAAATTGCCGATGTATTAATTTAAATAATTAAGCCCGGATAAGATTAATTGATATTTAATTCTTCAATTAAACGTATTGCAATGAAATTTGACTCAAAGTTCTGCATTCTGACCAGGATTTATATGATTCCGTTAATAAAAGAAAACTTGAAAATTATACATTTTAACATCGACACTGTACGTACAATAAACGCAACTGAGTTAACGGTCAATCGAGATACAATCATCTGAAAATAATTAAAAATTCACAGTATTTTCATTTATAAATTCCGTAAAAAATATATAAACTAGTGATATTAATAAATCACCATGCTAGTTAAAGCACTCGATTCAATATTTCGTGTATTATTTCTCGTTTTCAACCTAGAAACAGAAATTATATACTCGAAGCAACGAGAGATCCACTGCGATGATACGAGACGTATCCGAATACAAGCATTGTTTAAAGGGGCAATTATCATCCGTAATTATCGCAACAAAGAAATAATTTCAAGTTCGCTAGCGCTTTGATTCTTGGATGTATAAATCTCATGTATCTTATTGGCTAACCGAGCATATATGGCAAATCGCGGGGATTCAACGATCACGCACATTGTTCGCAGAGAGCGATTGCGATTTCTTCCTGTATTTGTCGCAAACGTCATAAAAGAATAACACGATGTGCGGAACGGCGCGGGCATAACAGACTCGTTCAATTGTCGCCGCGTGACCTTTTTTTCGCCGAGCGCCGTAAACATTCGGTCGAAAGCCGCGCGCCGGGTTCCACGAAATGACGTAGCATCGCGAACACTTCGGTCGAAAACAGTCAAGTCATTTGGCGCGGCTGAGTCGAGCAAGGCGGACGTTTCGCGTGTCTTCGCGTCGCTCGTAACGCGATCGTTTCCTACGAGAATCTCTATCGTCTCGTACGAGAGATGTTAACATTTATCAATCGCGTTTAAGTAATTGTCGCGATCCATAGTCGTATCGTTGATTTCTACGGTGATTCGTCGAGATGAATATCACGCGTTTGAAGAGAAAATGCGACCAATAGCCACGTTCAGCAGGCACAATTGTTGAGTGAGCGCTCAATGATTTCTTAATATGATTGGCTAGATCTAAAAATATTAACCAATCATACTGAGCGCTCGCTCAACAGTTGTGTCTGCTGAACGCGGCCAATGATTCTGATCGGTTCTGTCTACAATGGTCGTAGTCGTAAGAATAATCGACTGCGATTGGTCAATTCTTATCGAGCGACTACGACTACGACCATTGTAGACAGAACCGAGAATCATTGTAGCGGAGGCTTTAAAGTGGCCCTAAAATTCGTAAATTTGATTGGAGTATGTTCTTAGATTCTGCCATAATTAAAGGCGTACGCCAATCATATTCAAATTTTTACAACAGTCGGAAAAAGCAACTTTTTCCGCTGAACGTTACCAATGCAGAACCGGCTTGAGGCATCGATGAAAATGCCGCATAAGAAGAGGAAGAAAAAGTAGGGGGGGTACAGTGACGTCACGATCGGCGTGCTCCAGTGCTTCGTCCTTTCCAGCTAACCTTCACTGACGTCGATTGTCCGAGTGGATGTACGTATCCATTTTGCAGCCACGGAGAGAATAATTTCGTCAAAGATGGCTTCGAGGGCGACGTCGAGGAGGATCCCCGAGTCGGAGCCGCGTATAGACTACGTGCAATGCGACGGGCTGGTGGTGATGAAGATGGTGAAGCACTGCCACGAAGAGTCCTCCGGCAACATGGAGGTCGCCCAGGGCGCTCTCCTCGGCCTGGTCGTGCAGAACCGTCTGGAGATCACCAACTGTTTTCCATTTCCCAAAAACGACGAGATTATGGACGAGGAGGAGTACCAGCTCGCCATGATGCGTAGACTGAGATGGTGAGTGTCGTCGACATTCGGGAATGTTGTAACTTGTCAGCTCTCGAGCGCAACGATATCATTTTGTATCGGCGTAGGGTGAACGTCGATCACTTCCACGTCGGTTGGTACCAGAGCGCGGACGTCGGCAATTTCCTGAATCTGTCCCTGCTGGAGTCGCAGTACCACTACCAGACCTCCATTGAGGAGTCGGTCGTGCTTATTTACGACACCGCCAAGTCCGCCAGAGGCTTCCTGACGCTTAAGGCGTACCGGCTCACTCCTCAGGCGATACAGATGTACAAGGAGAACGAGTTCACTCCAGAAGCCTTGCGCACCCTGAAAATTGGATACGAGAGTCTCTTCGTCGAGATCCCGGTAGTCATAAAGAACAGTAATCTGACAAACATAATGATGTCGGAATTGGACGAGATGATTCCTGAGGAACAGGGCACGAAGTACCTAGATCTCGGGACAGCCACGGTCCTGGAGAATCAATTGAGGTGTTTAATGGACCGAGTGGACGAACTGAATCAGGAAGCGATGAAGTTTAACAGATATCAACAGCTGGTGGTCCGACAGCAGCAAGACAAGAATAGGCTGCTGGCCAAGAGAGCCCAGGAAAACGCCGCCAGGGCTGCTAAGGACGAGCCGCCGCTACCCGACGACGATATTAATAAACTGATGAGACCTCTACCGGTCCCGCCGAGGCTGAATCCGATGATCGTTGCTGGACAAATCAACACGTACAGCGAACACATCTCGCAATTCTGTGCTCAGAGCTTAGCGAAGTTGTATATCACTCAAAGTCTGCAAAACGCTAAAGATTCGAAATCTTCCCACTGATCGGACTACTGTGTTACGAATATTTATAACATTCGAAGAAGCGACCGTGAAAATAAATGAAAAGACGTACAGTTTGTCAAAAACTTCCGTTTATTATACTTTTTAGATTGAGTATTATCTATTAATAAAAAGAAACAATACGCTATGGTAAACTATACAAGTAGTTTTGATGACGCTCGATGGTCGGATAAATTAGCATATACATAATTTGATAACTATTCGCACTCGTCATCAGCTTACAAGATCCTCGGAAGCGTTCAACTGCCAAATCTTTGGCAGAACGTCTCCGCATCTTCCTGTTATTCTCAAGTCTACAGATTTATCGGCTCTAGTCTCGCCAATATTTACTATTGCCGTTGGCTTCTTTGCGTCCATCGCTTGCAGTACGATCCTGTATGCGGAGAACGTACTGAGGGTCGTTCCCAGAATTAGCAGGGCATCTAAGCTCTCTACGTTGGCCTTTACGTCGTGCACTACATCGTGTGGTACATTGTCCCCGAAGAACACAATATCCGGTTTCAAAATGCCACCGCAGTTGCCGCAAGCGGGCACGTTGAAGCTTTCCACTTGTGCCTACCAAATATATATTTTGTCATCAAAATAATACAGAGGAGAGTCCCCATAATAACGAGACAAACTTCTAATATGAAATAGAGTACGCTTTCAACATTGAAATTCAATGACAATTCTTTCTTTGCAACGTTTACACGATCCCATAAGAAATTTTCCCTCGCTTCACTCCAAGTGCAATAAATTCATGGTAGAATCAACAAACAATGCCCATTAATTTAGTAAAAAACCTGCTATCTCATATTAGAAGCTTGCATCATAACAGGGGGATTTCTCTACATACAGTATCAGCCAAAATTGTATCACCTTTAGGTTTTCCGAGTATAATACGCGTCAAACTGTATCGAATGTGCTCCAAATTTTACAGTAGGCACCTGATAACAGGTGTACCTTGCGAGGTAGACAGACACGAAGGATAAGGAAATTTGACAAACTGCATCATGCTTTTCGAATTTTGTATTCGTGCACTGTGCAACTAGTTGTGCCAAAAAAATCGAAAGGTAATATGAGGCGATTTTTGGTACATACACCAGAGCCTTTACACTTGAAGGAAAACGCTAAAGAGATATCCAATGGGAAAATTTATTTTAACAAAAAGAATTTCTCTATCAGAATATATTGGACTTGACGGCTATCTTCAGGTGCAAAAACACTCATGACGCCGAGTGTACGCTCTGGTGCACCTCGGTACATGTACACTAGGAAACACTGATGCCTTCCCACATGAATTTGCGCACACACCAACACATTTATATATTTTGCGCATACGTACACGGAAAATGTACGTGTGTTCTACCTAAATTCATACGGGAAGGCGTCGGTGATTCCTAGTGTACCAAACAATCGTCAAAAACCAGCTACAATTTGGGCTGGTACTGCACGCTTGAAAACATTGTATATAAACAATCGTATGCACCTGTGACAATTCTACATCACCGTCGGGCCTTATCATCTGGGCAGTCGCTATCATGGACGGATTGAGCTTCTGAAAGACTCTTTGAAGTTCGTGTCTGCACATCTTACGATCGCAGTTAAGACACCTAACTCTGAATGCTGTTCCGTGCAGCTCGATGATCTTCCCACTTCCTGCCTTTGAGTGTAAATTATCTACGTTCTGCGTAACAACGCATCCTACCTTTCCGACGTACTCCAGGTGCTTGAGTATCTTGTGCGTAACGTTCGGTTTGAGGGAGGAAAACCTATAAATACACAGCTGAGAGGTGTCGAGACGTCTCTGTTAATTTTTTTTAAAATAGTGCACGAAATGTCTGAGCTACGGAAAGCGCAAACCTTGGCCATCCGACGTAATTTCTGGCCCAGTATCGTCTTCTGGCTGCCTCACTGTCACAGAATTCCTTGTAAAGGATCGGCCTGCGATTGCTCCGGGCATAAAGACCGACTCCGGCCGACCTGTAATCAGGAATACCGCTTTCCGTGGATATTCCTGCCCCGGTTAGCACGCACAGACGTTGATGTTTATCGACGAATTCTTTCAGTCTCGTCACATCCTCCGCTGACGCTGGATCACATTTTGGAACGAAGGCGAGGTTCGACAAACGCGCTGCAAAGTGACAGTCGCCGGTGAATACAGGAAATCTCTGTACGCGATGTAACTAACACTCGGACAAGACCATTACTTCAGATCAGATTAGGTTTAAAGTGAACTCTTTGTGTCTATTTCTATCAATGTAGGTTAATTCCAATCTTGATTTAATTTACTTTTCATCTTTTTCTAGGTTCTAGAGCTATAATTGCGTTGGTAAAAACGGACACTAGCCATTTAAGCGAACATAACCAAAGCGTACATTTGCGAAATAAATGAATCGACGCAACATTCGCGAGAAGACTCGTGTTACGGCAGGCACACCTCGCAATCATAATGAAACCTGTAATTTATCATTCTGACAATGAGATAAATCTTGAAAATGCACTTCAACACGTGCACACGTCATACGGCTTTCAAATTCTATCGTGCCTCGTGTCATAGGATGATGCGACATCGAATTGTTATTGGCATTCGGAAAACACTAGAGGTGTGTTCCCATTTCCTCTACAGCCTCCGCTACAATGGCTGCGTTCGGGGAGACGCTATTTAGCGCTATGAGCGTGCTCTGTCCTTGTTCAACTTTTGCAAGTAACAAGGACAGAGCACGCTCATAGCGCTAAATAGCATCTCCCCGAACGCAGCCAATGATTCTCGGTTCTGTCTACAATGGTCGTAGTCGTAAGAATAATCGACTGCGATTGGTTAATTCCGTCAGATACATAAGAATTGACCAATCACAGTAGACTATTCTTACGACTACGACTTTACGACTTCTATGTAGACGAGGCTTAAAGCCTCCGCTACAATGATTCTCGGTTCTGTCTACAATGGCCGCGTTCAGCAGACACAACTGTTGAGTGAGCGCTCAGTATGATTGGTTAATACTTTTAGATCCAGCCAATCATATTAAGAAATCATTGAGCGCTCACTCAACAGTTGTGCCTGCTGAACGTGACCCATGGTCGTAGTCGTAGTCGCTCGATAAGAATTGACCAATCGCAGTCGATTATTCTTACGACTACGACCATTGTAGACAGAACCGA